ATCAAAATTGGCTTCGAATTCAACAATATCATTGGAGTAAATTCGAGAGTGTTGACAGTAAACAAAATTTATGAAAATATCATATTGTACTGATTGTTCCCAACAAAATCACTATTACTGTCGTTTAGAGTACTTTCGTTATTTATGATTATCGTAACTGTTATGGCGTTGTTGCTGTTCTCATTGATTTCAGCTGAATATTTCGCTATCTCTATCAGTAATTATCAAATTTGCATTGCACTTAAACAGTTCAATCGAATTGCTCGAAGCGAATAACATTGTAATCTATTCAGGGTTGGGGAAGTCCAAGGAAGAACACAACCGCATCAAAGGAGTCATCCGGTTATGGTTCAGGCAGTTCTGAATCGGATCCGGAATTTGATCAGGTTTGCAAATTTATCCTCCTCAAATCCTCTCTCCAAATGCACAAAATCACCACCTAATTCATTACTCAAAAAAAAGAAACACTTCGTTTGGTGTGTTACTGCGCAGTCCAGCGATACTCTGTCTCCTGAGGCTACATAATCAAAACAACAATAAGTATTAGACAAAACACACAACAATAGTATATCATCATCGATGCTCTTTGAAACTTCATTACTCGTGGCTGATTTCTTCTGACTGATCTGTAATCTTAGTGCAAGACCTTGTTCGCGTAAACAACAACTGCAAATCTAAGAGACGGTGCTCATAAAATTATTGAAAAAAGCCTTTTTCCGGTCTTGTTGTTGTTGTTTCACCTATAGTCAACTGCTTCAGAAGATTACGAATCAGATGGGTTCGTTCCTGCAACCGAATTTTAACCAATAAACTGCTAATTTCAGTTATTGCACACATTGAGGGAAGGTGTAAGCACAGAGAATGGACGATTATCGCGACAATTGAACGAAATTCAATCGAAAATTCGATCCAGAAATGCTGGTGTAAGTTTTCAGTGGATATCTATGCTTATCGTTAACCTATCAGCACAGAAGAAAGATGGATACAGATTTTGTGTTCACCTATCAGACATTGACGTTGATTTTGTTTTTCAAAAACAGTGCGATGAATTTCAGTTGGAAAAGAGTAGACGAAGGAGTGTACCTGCGTATCTACGAGAAGCTTTCCCCAGTAAGCTGCCGACTTCAAATTTTTTTTTCTATCTTGGGAATTCCAAAAAAGAGAAACAGATTTCTCATTTGATGTTTCATAATTCATGAAATTGTTGAGTGCAGAGATTTTTTGCAAGTTGCACCAAGCGATTTGCTCTATGCACAAAGCAAAATTTCATTCGGTCTCGATTGAGAGCTGATGTATGAGCGAGATGACACTCCTGTCTGCGTTGTATTCTAGAGTTATTGCTTCAAGCAACATCAACTAGCAAGTTGATGTTGCTTGAAAATTGTGAATGTTTACAAAAAAATGATCAGTGAGAAACATAAGAATCTAATGAGTTACACATCAGAACTTTATTAGTTACACACGAGTCATTAAAATTTACATAGTGCAATCATCTACACATCATCTAATTGATGTACTACTGCTGCAACGAAATGGATTGTGAAATGGTTTGCATTTTTACAGGCGAAATATTTCGTGTGCTCGAAACAGGTGGTGTGCTGCAATTCGAAACTGATGCGGTAAATTACAAACGTCGTTTTCTTAAGTTTTTATGCGGTTTTTCAAATTAAAATGCTGCGCCGCGTAAACGTACTATTTAACGGATGTTCTTCATTTGTTGAAACGTAAATTTAAATTTGCGAAAATTTCGTGATTCACCTGAAAGTGAGTGATGATAATACATTTATTAATGTACGCATTGTGAATGCGCAATTTACGATGAATGCTTTCGTGGACTTGTTTCTGTGGTTGAATTTAATTAGATACGTTAGTGATGGGAATATATCAGTGAGCAAATCAAATGGGATTCATTCATACACACACATTCATTTATTTATGCATCTGTTCCTCTTTTGAGACGAGTCAAAACGAGATTTTTGCAAAATGCAACGAAAATAATTGACTTTCTAATCGAGCATTTTCAGTTCATTGAAATATCCCGGAGTCGATTCGATTTATCGTTGAAATTCTTGTTTTTGCTCTTTCAAAGCAAATAGATTGGAAATTATACTCAGGCAGAGTATTTTTAGCCTTATTTAGAGAATATCCTTTTGATAGTTACTAGTGGACAAGTCCGACTAGCTAAGGTTTCTGCATCAACTGAAACACTTCAGAACCACTTCAGCAGTTCACTTGATGAGAAGTGAAAGTTGTGTGCGTGAAAAATGCTTCAACTCGAGATTTCGAATTGTGTTCGTTGCAGCGATTACCAAAATTCCGATCACATGAAAATGACTTAACTCAATGATCTCCGACTGAACACTGATCTGATTTGATCTAATAATAAGCGATAACAGCTGCATACACATTTGTTCATTTCACTGATTTATTCAATCTTTTGTTTGTATTTATTCTTATTGTTAGTATTATTACTTTTGCTATTATCATCACTTCATTAATTCATGTATTTTTTCATCATTTTACTCATTATTTACTCGATCGGAAATCGAAAAGACAGTCTTAATCAGAAACACTGCAATAATGCTTTATGCTTGAAAATTGTCGTTTTTCAGCGGGGGAAATGGAAGACACTCCTAATCGTAAGAGAAAATGAACTGAAAGTTAAGTTAATTTACCAGCAGCTATCGCATTACGAAATTGCAACCAACTGACCGCACGCAACTAAATCATTTCGTTTTGGCTTGACTGAAGCGACAAAACGATAAAAGCTAAGTTTCAACTAGAAAACGCTTGACAGGCGTTGTTCACTTCGAATTGAACGTGATGACTTGTCAGTATCTATCGTACGTTCAGTTGAATGCACAGAGTTGATAGAGCAGTTCTTATAAGATGGCAGTTCTCGCGCATTTCTCTCTGGGAATTAATCGCTCGTGCCACTTGACGAAAATGAGAAATTTGAGATCTCATGGAATTCCTTCCTCCAGATTTGATGAGTTTGTGATCTGTAGATAATTGGCTAAATATTACACATGGAGAGCACAATTCTTACGGTACCAGTATGAAGTATGGCATCGAAATTCACTATTGTCATCGAATAATCATTTAATGAAAACACAGTGCCATTATTTGGTCATTACTGAAACATTGCGATCGACTTTAACCAACATTCATCTGACTCAATTAAGCTGAACACGAATTGAATGTTGTTGCAATCATTTGCGAAAAAAATATGAAAACTTTTCATAAAATGCAATTCCAAATGAAAAATGCATTAGGCTGCTGCATTTTTGATTTTAATTGTGGACAATTTGAAATGATTAATCACTTCGAATCGCCGTTTCTATGTTGTTTTATTTATGAATTCCATTTTATTTTTCCACAAAAAAACGAAAAAAAAAAGATTTCAAATTTCACATAAAATTTCCAACGAACATCAACCACATAATGACGATGATGATGAAAAACAACAATTAGTTGAAGTCATTCCGAAGTGTTTCTGTTTTGTTTTTTTTGCGTTATACTTAAGCAATTTTTGAGATATTAACGACAAGTTTGTGTGAACATACAAACGTAAACGCGTTCATAACTGCCATTTTACCGATTCCAGCTATTCAATTCATCCATCACATGACGTTCACTGTAAACAGTGCCCTCCTGAATTTCAAACTTTTATTTTATGTTGTCGCTCATTTCCATTTTTTATGCTATCACCAATAAAATATTCACAAAAGATTTATTTATGCGCACTCTCGATTGAACTTCTACAGATGCTATACATTAGTGTGTTCGCTGAAAAAAAAACTGTCTCAGTATCAGATTTTATTACTTCGTTTCCATTTGTTTCCCGTTTGCGCCGTACTTGGTGAGGGCGTGCAGAAATATGGTATATTTGAGTCGACCGGTTTGGATTAAATGTTCGCTGAAATTGCTTGTTTGCGTTCGTTCAGTTGAGCGGATCTCAGTTCGATAGTTGATTATTTTCCACTAATCGAAGACTTATATACAATCAATCTCTTGGATTATACTCAATAGTTTGTTCCAAATATTTATGCGAATGCTACCAGTACTATAGAATAGATTTTGCTACATTTTTATTACTTCATTTATGTATCCGTTCTCGTTTTTAATTAGTTGGATGGATTTTATTCAGCTGCAAAAGTATAAAATCCATGTTCTGAAATAAATTGCTGAAATTAACAGCCTTCAACTTGATCATAAAAACTTAGGCAAACGCATTTGATGGTTCCTCATTGCCAATGTTCCCTCATGAATTGTAATGAAATTTAATTGTATAGGTAGTGAATTATTACTGAGAATTATGTTAACTGCAAAAATTTCATTTCGAAAATAGGAAATTATAGCGGCGTTTAATCGAGAGCATTGCATAATTTGGAAATTATTTATTATTAACACTCGTGAGAAGTAATAATCATTCTCTCACAATCCTCACTTTATTTTGTTGCTGTGATTGATGAAATGAACAAATGTGTATGAATAAATAACGAGTTGAATGAATATAAATGCGGCACATATAAGTAGATAAATCAGAGAGTAAATAATTGAATGTCCAAATAAATGAATGCTAGATGCATAAATAAATTAGCTCTCAATAGATTTGTATTGTTGTTATAATGATCTCACTCTGTTTGTGAATACTGCGACCATACATCATCGTCATCCTTTTGACCAGTAGAAATGTCCGATAGTTTCGAGTGATATATTTTTAGAACAAGCATCGTCTTGTGCTACAATACTAGAAATGAGTTGCTTCATTAACCCATTTCTCAGTTCATTGGACTGACTGAACACTTCACATTGAGTTAATTCTCTACCCGAAATTAACATCTTTATTTCACCAATTTTGCTCTTCTCAAGTGCAATGTTTCTTGTCGTTTCTTGAAATGATGGAAACGGCACAACATTAATCGTAATTAATCGTAACGTCAGTATCGCTCTGGTTTTTTTCACATGGAACAACTCTATTCGAGTCATTTCCAATATATTAAATGGATTCTGAGAATCGTAATTTGTTTCTTCTCAATTTATCAAATGTGGCAGTTCGCGAGCAAAAAACCTGATAGTTTCTGACAGTTTACCGCATGATCGATGATTCACTGTCAGTGATGATCACAGTACATAATGTAGTTCACATTTTTGTTTTCTGTTTACTTTCAGGACACCGGATTAAGCACACCAACAGCTGCAACAGTGTTGGGTCATCGCAGTATCAATAGACCGGAATCGGTGCTTCAGTTGGCCAGAAAATTCGCTGAAGCCAGCGCTGTGCAGGTTGACTCATTCATTCATGCATTCACAAATAGTCAGCAATGAAATGAATGAACAAAACGAAATAACAGTTCAATTCTTCTGATCGGAAATGAAAACAGTGAACTGAAGCGTATCGAGTGTTCTCGTTGTGCACTTTTTGAAATATTTCATGAAAAGAACGAAGAATGAATTCGAAGCTATGCAAGATTGCATCAATTATGTCGGTTTTTTCGGTCACTTGAAGAGGCCATTTTCACTTTCACGTTTCATCACTGTCCTCATAATTATGATTTCCTTTTCGCGCGGTACACTCTCAACTGAAGAAATTATATGAAAAGACGTGAAATGTTCATGAAATAACCCACAATCATCTTGAAATGACTTGGAAAAATGAGAGCTAATTTTCGTGCATAACGAACTAATTGACATCCCGAAGCAGAATAATGAGTGACTTCAAAAAAAAAGTAAAATTCGTTCGATCCGGTTGCTGACAGAATTACCTTCGTTTCATAGTACACCACCTACTTTGATTAGGTATCATTTAACGAACGAAGTTTGTCTAAAAGCTTTCGTTTTTCCAAATGATCATCTAAATCAAATCAGCAAACAATTACTACTCGCCAGATGCGCTAATTCGATTAGATGCGATTCGATTCGATTCGATTTGTTGGTGACC